AAACTGCTCCGAGCACTGACTTTGTTGGGTTCTTGCAGGTTCGTATTGATCAACCCCGGTCGTGTGAATCAAACCTTTAACCCCCTGAAAGCCCCAAGCCCTAAAGCTTTTTAAAAGCCCTAAGCTCTGAACCCCTTGAAAGCCCTAAGCCCCAAACCCTACTTAAAGGACCATGTGACTTCGTAACTAGGGTTATAATTCGGGTAACTATACTTATAACCCCAATTTCGGTACTTAAGCCTTACTCACCAAGTCCCATGATCCTCCAAGCAAAGCCCTGAGCCTCTAACCCTATAGACCCCTTTGAGGAACCCCATAGATCCCTTTATAAGGAGCCCTTTAAACACAAGAACCAAAAAAAATAAATATATATATATATATATATATATATATATATAAGGAGCCCTTTAAGGAACCTTACTCAGTCCCATGATCCTGAGCCCCGAAGGCTACGAGGAGCTGGAGCCCTTTGGCGAGGAAGTGCAGATCGGATCGGATCGCGAGTTCTGGCCTGCCGTCGTCTTGGACAAGCCCGGGGACTCTACTCTTGAAAGGGCTCCCTTCTACGGGGTTTAGGGTTTAGGATTAAGGATTTAGGGTTTGGGGTTTGGGGCTTAGGGTTTGGGGTTAGGATTATTGGTTTATGGTTTGGGACACTAGAAGGCCACAACGTTTCCTTCTACTTAAAGGATCATGGGACGTAGTAACTAGGATTATAATTCAGGTATCTATACTTATGACTGCATATAACCCCAATTAAGGTACTTATAACCTCACTTACTAAGCCCCATATCCTCCTAGTAAGGCCCCGCTGTTGGGGCTCCATATTTGTTGTTTTCTCTCTGTGTGCCTTGGTTCTCCTACTCAACTTTCGAAGGTACCCTAACTAAACACCTGAACACGAAACCCTAAAGCCGTTTGCCGGCCTTGGTTTCCGCTTTCTTGCAGGTACAAAAGGCAACTGCAGGGTTGTATAGGGTTTCATAGGTTTCAGGGCTGTTTGCCGCTGCCTTCGATCGTTTGTTGCGAAAAGCCCGGAGCGGTTCTGATAGGGTCCTTACAGTTTTTGGAGGGCTTGTTTCGAGGCACCAGAAGGGAACTATCACTGAAGAACACTAAGGACTCTGCGTCAATTGCTGTGAGCTACCTGTGACGCTGGAAGCGAGACCGTACAGTTCATCGTTTAACAGGCTCCGCATTGGGATTCTATCAGGGCTTTACATGTAGACCTCAGGGTCCATACCCCAGGTCTTGTGGTTTGAAGCACGCATATTTGGGTACTTGGACCCTCGACATAGGACTCGAGACTCTGCCTATTATAACATACCCTACAAGGTTTAGGGCACCTAGTTTTCAGAAAACTAGGTCCCCTGAAAAGTGGGTAGGGTATGACCGTCGGCTCTTGCAGGGATGCTTCTGCTTGCAGTAGGCAGGTTGCACAGCAGCTTCGCCAAAGGCTCCAACTTTTAGACACTTAGGTTTCGGATGGTAGCTCTGCAGGTTACTATTTGGGAGAGTATGTTATTGTTATAACTTGGACAGTTCGCCGAAACGAACCCTGAACTCTAAGCGATTATTTCCTGCTACCAGTGGCTCGAGTTGACGATGTTTGAGGATCTTACCTCGTATTTTGAAATGCTTGGGACTTGAAGCACACCTTTATCGATACCCCCCGAAACACTAAAAGCCTAATCCTGAAACCGTGAACTCTGGTTAGTGCCATAAACCCTGACCCTTAAACCCTCAACCTGTTGAACCCGAATCCCCAGTCTTGAAAACTGTCTTTTGGTCCGTTGACGAATCATGCATAGTCCTGTACAGTTCGGACTGAGTCGGCAGAGCAGCGACATGGCAATGTCGTACCTTCCATCAAGACTTGAAGCCGTGCAGATTTTGCAAAAAGAAGTGGATGGGGGGTGGGGGGGGACGTGGGAGTAAACTTGGCGTTGCAAAATCCCGCAACCCGAATTCTATCGGAAGCAGGCCTTGTCGAGGTTAGGGGCGCCCTATTCTTGGGTGGCCCAAACTTGGCGGAGCCTCAAGCCATACCAAAAGCCAATGAAGGAGGGAAGCCGACACCCTAAACGCTAGCTGTAACAGCCAACAATCTACCTTTCTAGGGTTCCTTAGGATGTTTTCTTGGGTTTCTTTTTGCGGCTTCTTTATGCGAAATCCCGACAAAGGCTTTCTTCTTGTGCTACAGGTACACCCTAAAACTTAAACCCGGCACCCCTACACCCGGAAACCCTTAAATAGGGGCCCTGATTTTAATTGAATTCGAATAGGGTTTTGGGGCCCATTATACTTTACTGAGAATAAGGAGCCCCAAATACCGTATAGGTAGTTATTATGGCCTCTATACTACGCCCTTTAAGAGGTCAGATCTTCTAAGCAGGAAGTCGCGCTTTCAACATTGTTTCGCATCCCAAGGCAAGAGTCTAAATCCTCAAATCCTGGGCGCCCAGTTTTACCGTTTTGGATTGAAAGTTTGGAGTTTTGGCTTGAAGGTCTGGGTTTTAGGGTTTGGGGTTTAAGGACAACTGTAGGATGAGGGTTATCCAACAACCTGAAACCCGGGTTCCAAGCCTGAAAGCATCTATGTACTGTAGATGGGTACATCTTAAGGACGAAATGAACCCCAAAAGGGTTTAAGGTTCATATACTCATATACCATATAGGGATTCATAGTATATGAGTATAGGGCCCCTAGTTTTCGGTGGTCATTTGGTCCTTCAGGATTGACCCGATTACAAAGCACGGTGCCAGGTCTCCTAGTGGGCACTTTTTCCATTTGGCGGTCTTCTTAGATAGCGAACGGGGGAACTTTAAACTTTTTGGCCTTATATATTAGCTCTATTTCAGAAAGTTTGAACTTTTTGGGGCCCGGTTGTTGAAGAAGAGAGTCTTAAGTTTCTTACAATCAAAGGGGAAAAGGAGGGACCCTTCATGGGGACCCCTACCCTATAATGGGCTATAAAATGGGTATAGAATAGCTATATTAAGGGTATATACCTAGGGGTCCTTAGTAAGGGTCCCTCCTTTTAGCCTTGGATACCAAGCTACCCAATACAGGGAAGGGAGCGCGTTTATTCCTAGGCCAACAATCCTAAGACCCCTTATACTGCAACCTTCCACATCCCTTAGACTCCCATAAAACGTGCCCAAACCCTAAACCCTTGAAGACTACGTGCGCCTAAATATTTCTTAGGCCTTAAGTACCTACACGTCTATACTAAATAAGTGCATGGAGCTTCAGGGAACCCCAAGCCGTGCAAAGCCCTATTGCCCAGGTACCCTTCGAGCCACCCTAAACCCTAAACCCTAAACCCTAAACCCTAAACCCTAAACCCTAAACCCTAAACCCCTAAACCCCTAAACCCTAAACCCCTAAACCCCTAAACCCTAAACCCTAAACCCTAAACCCCTAAACCCTAAACCCAGGTACCCTTCGAGCCACCGGAGTGGAATGTCTGGGCTTCACTGTTTCTGGGGCTCGCGCTTCCCGTCCGCGAGCGGCCACTGAAAGCATTGAGCAGACTTTCCCTTCAGCCCTGTTGGGGTTTAATATATATATATATATATGTATATATATATATACATATATATATATATATATTATATTATATATATATATATACATATGGACCTCAATAATTACCAATACTATTCAGCCGGGTTCCTTTTATTAATGCAATATAATGGGCCCCAAAACCCTATTCTGGTTATTAAGGCCCCTATATTAGGCTTTTTGTGTTGAGGTTCGCAATTTCAGCATTGTTCCCTAGAGCCGACCGGGCTAGATCAAACAGGTTTCTCGCTCCTGCCATACCAAAACCCTAAGCCCTAAAAAACCAAACACACGAAAGCTCGAAACTGTAAAGCCCCTAATACCATGTAAACCCGTCCTAAAGCCCCAAACCCTTAGGCCCTGCAAAATTGTAGGTCATGGCCACCCGAGATTAAAGAGCTTAACTCGCAATTTGACAGTAGGTTTGCAGAGTCACTTTAAACCCTGAACCATGAAGCCTGAACCCCACGTGAACCCCAAATAACCGTTTCAGGATTTATATGCGGATATTGTAGTAAGGATGGGGTTAAGGTAAAGCAACCTAGACCCTAAACCCTACTTGTAAGCCTTGCAAGCAAGGCTAAAACAGCCGATGGGAGGTTGGAAGGGCAAAGGAGTCCTTCGACTGACTTGAGAGCTTGGGCTTTGTTTTTGTTGTCTGTATTTTTTTTTTTTGGGGGGGGGGGGGGGGTTTGGGTAGAGGGCTTAGGGTTTATGGTTTAGAGCTTAAGGTTTGAGGGTTTACAGTTTAGCCAAACCCTAAACCCTACATTTCTTCTTCTATCCTTAATTCAAGTACCCTAAACCCTAAACCCTAAACCCTAAACCCTAAACCCTAAACCTATATACTTTGGACACGGAGGGTTCGAAGTTCCGGGTTCGAGACGTCGGGTTGGTGTAGCCAACTTCTCGACCAGGTTTAGGGTTTAGGGTTTAGGGTTTAGGGTTTAGGGATGGACGTGTTCTTTTGCTGGGTTAGTATTGTGGGTTTAGGGTTCCCCATAGCCTCCAAATGACATTGTTAAGGAGAACATCGTAAATAGTCGTGGGATCCATAGGTTCTTTTCGGAAGGAAGGGTTTGGTTTTCAAATCCCTTGACGGGATCTCCTATGCCCAGATCCCGGGCTAGAATGAAGGGAAGTTTGGGGCGTCTTGACAGGTTTTGGGGGCTGGGGTTGGGGCCCTTCGGGATGAGTTCCCAGAGAGCCCAATACCCCTTAATTACGGATCATAGCTTAAATCATATTATGCGCCCCCCTATAATTTAAGGTATATTCCTTAATTAAGGGGTATTGGGCTCTCTGGGTTTCGTGTCAGGACAGGAGCTCTGGCTACATTGCCAAGGGCGGCAAAGGCGGCAAAGGTGACGGCAAAGGGCGAGGAGGCAATAAGCCAACTGATGACCCCGATTTCGTGCGCTGGTCCAAGAACATGCGGCTGGAGGGCGCTGGCTCAGGCAGTGACGTGGGCTATCAGGGTTGAGGGGTGTCCTGAACCCTAAAACCCAAGTTCCCAGACCACGAATCTTAAACCCTACATGCTACCCTAAAATCAGAGCTCTACACCCTAAACCCTCATGCCTGAACCTCAAACCCTGAAGCCATAAGATTCTGGACCCCAAATTTGGATAACACGGCTAAACATAATAGTAGCCTGTAAACCCTAAACCCGAAACCCTTATAGTACCCTTATAGATCCCTGTATAGGTACCCTTGTAAAATCATAGCATGGTGCCCGATTTGAGCTTATCAGGTGCGAGCTACGTCGTCGAGGACTATGTGGCAAGTGGCTCATTCAGTCGTGTCTTCCGAGTCAGAAGAGAAGTACCAGGCCTCAGGAACAGGGGGGGGGGGGGGGTTGGCTTTAGGAGAACCGTCCTCCTCAATGAGGGAACGTAGGGCATCTTATTGTATAAAGGTTTCTCTTGCCTGAAGGGTCATACTCTACCCCTCTTCTTGGGTACCTATGTAAGATGTTTCTTTATAACCGATCCCAACCATAAAACTAGGTACCCTCAAAAAGAGTGTAGGGTATGACCCTTTAGGTATGATTTCAATTACCTAGTAGTAGAGTAGGCAACCTTTAACTCTTTTTGGGTAGGATAGTCCCTTTGTATTTCCGATATAACCGAAAAGGTTAACCTTTAGTTCCCCATGATACCCGAGGGTTTAGGGTTTTAGGTTTTAGGGGTTTAGGGTTTTAGGGGTTTAGGGCTTTAGGGTTTTGGGTGTAGGCTCGCCTCAAGCCTAAACCTTAACTAGGGTTTTTTTGAGCGAGAGGCTATGCAAAGTACAGCGTTGACAGACCCCGAGCCGAAATCCTCAAGCCCCAAACCAGTTTCCGTAGCCTAGTCCCATAGGATACAAGGGAATGGGGTCCATCGGGGTGAGAATTTAAAGCCTCTGCGCGTGCAGGCGTGCAAGAACCAAAAAGACGATGGGGCAACTCGAGCGAAATCCTCGCCGCCAAAGTGACTCCTGCCTGCTATATAATATTGGGGGCCTAAATAGTTTCCAATAATATTTGTGGGGTTCCTGATTATAATTATCGTATAAAGGATCCCAAAACCTTGTTCCAATCGTGAAGGCCCTTTGTTATGCCTCACCTGTAGCCCCATGAACGGACCTTATGAGGACCGCACACACTAATGATATTGTTTTTTCCAATACATGGTATATCATATCAACTTGCATGCAAATAGCATTATGTTATATTGTACTACATAATATTGTTTTATACTACGTTCTAATGCATTGAATTCCACAATGTTGCATTGTTTTCTACGACATTGTCCCATATTTGATACATTACGCTATACTCTACAATTATGTTTCGCTACATGTATGCTGATATATCTATGTATATATATATATATACACTAGTTTAATCCTGTATCAAAGAAAGTGGTACCTAACCCTATTGTAATGTGCGATATTACATTGCAGCCTAGTCTAACATCTCATGTTCTGCCGTACTAACTAGGTTTTACTTCGCTATGTTGTATCATATTATACTGTAGTGTACTGCTTCTATCATTTTTTAAGTAAGATCAGGTTGCACCACATTGTATTATATAGTACGTGTATCAATATATATATATATATATATATATATATGTGTGTTTGTGTGCATGTTTGTTCCTATGTGTATGTGCATGTTTATATCTATATGCGTGTGCATCTAGGTGTGTGCCTACGCTTGATGTAGGCCTGAACCCTCGGCTTGTCAAACCCTGAGCACAAAAGTGCGGGGGCCTGAACAATTGCATCCACAGGTGTCTTGTTCATTTGTACTCTTTGGACAATTTTCTTCATAAGCTCTAGATGTGCAGCCCAATTAGGGACCTTGCACCCGAAGCTTCACATCCTCTTTGAGCTTTGAAGTATCATTACAGATTCGACGAGGATGCGGAAAGAGGATGCCTACATCCAGTACACCTCCAGCGGTCCTGGCGAGGGAGAGCTGCTACAAAGGCCGACCTCCTTTTCTAGGATGCCCAGTAGTACCCTTATTCCCTTTTTGTAGTCCTAGGTTCCTTATAAAGTTACCCAATACCAAAAAGAGAGGCCTTTTTATTCGTAGGTTACTGGGTATCCTAGTTTTAGTATTGAGGGTTTAGGGGAGAGGAGTCTGCTACTCTCCTAGTCTGTATTTGTGTTGGGATCCCTCGTCAGTAGGCATATTACAGTATAACCCTAAACCCTAAAGCCAGTTAACCTAGAACCGCATTCTGCGGATTAACGTTCTCTATCCGGGCTTTTGTGCCTAGAGGCCCGTAGAACCTTACCGGGAAAGTCCCCATTCTGAACCCTTAGGGTTAGTACGTACGACCCGTGAAAACGTCTCAAGGCCTTACCCGAAACCCTAAGTAAAATCCTAAACCCTACCCCTAAATCCTACGGCCTTACGATTTATAGGCTTTTAGGGCTTATAATTAGGGGTTAGGATGTAGAGTTCAGGGTTTAGGTTTAGGGTACATCAGAGGTCTAGGCGGTCAGGGTTAAAAGCCCATGTAGAACCCTTAGAAACCCCAGAGAACCCTATGGAGTCCTTGCAAACGTAAAAGCCTACCCAAGAACTTATAAATAAACCTTAAAACCCTAAAACCCTAAACCCTAAAACCCTAAACCCTGAAACCCTAAACCCCAAACCCTAGAGCCCGTACCCCGAAGCTCTAAACACTCCACCCGAAGCTCTAAACACCCGAAAACGTACCTGTGCCTGTTACCTTACATTCCCTAAGGGTCCACGTACCCAAATAGTATATACCTTGGGCCCAATGTACCTATATAAGGAGTACTTTAAGGCCAATGTATGTACTATATGAGTACATGGACCCTTAGGGATTGTTATGAAGGGATCCTTGCCATCAGATTTGCTATCCCCAAGTGCTAGATTCTAGGGCTTGCGTAAATTTTCGACTCTAGGGTACTTACAGACGGTTTAGGGTTTAGGGTGTTGGTTTAGGGTTGCAGCTTCCTTGACGAACCCTTGAAGGAACCTTTTCAAGGATCTATGAAGGATCCCTATCGGGCCCCCAAAACCCTAAAACCTGAACTCTTTCAAGGAGCCCGACGAACGCATGAAGGAACCCTTCAAAGAACCCTGTAATAAGGAGCCCCTAATCCCGTAATAATCCCTAAACCCTAACCCCTAATCCCCAAACCCTAAACCCCAAACCCTAAACCCTAAGCCCTAAACCCTAAACCCACACCCGTAAAGGAACCCTTTCAAGGAGCCCTTTAAGAGAAATCTTCCCGGGAGGTTGGAGGCCGCCCAACGCGAGGCGAGCGCGGAGGTCTTGACGATGCGATGCGTGGAGTCTCTAGGATCAGATCCTAGGGTTGGGTTCCTTATTATAGTTATAGGGTAATATAGGGACCTTCGTAATTAACTATACTATTTTGGGGCTTCCTTATTTGGATGGCTGGAGTCTCTAGGCTCAGATCCTTGGGTTCAGAGTTTAGGGCTTAGGGTCTCTGCTATCAGGGTTCAGAGTTCTCGGGGCTCAGTGTTAAGGGTATAACATAGGGGCCTGAGTGATTACCGATACTATTTTATATCGGGGTTCCTTATTATAACAAAATATATTGGGCCCCAAAACCCCGTTCGAATCATTAACGAATTTAGATGGCTGGAGTCTCTAGGATCAGATCCTGGGGTTCAGGATTTAGGGTTTAGGGTCACTGGTATCGGCATTTCATTTAGGGGAGTCTAGGATCGGATCCTGGGGTTTGGGGCTTCGGGTTTACAGGATTTAGGTTTTGGGGTTTAGTGAGTTTAATGTTCAGGTTTGGGGCTCAGGTGTAGGGTGTAGTTAGGGTTTCGAGTTGATAGGGTTCAAGGTTTCGGGTGTTTTTGTTGCTTACTGTGCGCTCTGGGTTGCGGTTAGCAGAATATGATAAGACCCAAGTGCGTTCTCGTTTGCTTTCTCCGCAGCCTAGGTCTTTTGCCACCAAGGACGATGCCGGCAAGGACAGCGGCTCTTTAAAGGGGTTTTTGGGCGGTCTAATAGTTTGGGCCCCTACAAAATCAATTCCCCCCAATAGGTACTTCGCAAGCTTGGGGGCTAAGTCATTAAACCGGACCCTGAACTCTAAAGCCAGTATGTCTCGGCTCCGCTCCGCGAAACACAAATTACGGCCAGACCGAATAAGCAAAGACAACGGAGGGGCTCAGTGACACCTCTCTAGGACTACTGGTGCCTGATCTTGGAGTGGCTGGATGCGTCACTCTTTGACGTGCTCCGCATGAACGGCAACCGCGGTCTTCACTTGTCCATGGTGCAGTGGCTGATAATCTGGGGTTTATAGCATTTAGGGTTTAATTCGGGGCTGTTCATTATGTGCTAGTTATGTAATAGAGGGTCTCGGCCCTGGGGATGTTTAATTAGAGCCTAAGGCTCATATCGGTTGACGGTTTCCTTTGCAGCAACTAAACACGCGGCTCTTCATCACGCTCACCCACTAGTGGTCTACCGGCCCATCGGAGCTGCGGTTTGGTGAAATAGGAATACTCCCTAAGGGTCCATGTACCCAAATTGTACATACATCGGCGCCAAAGTACCTATATAGGGTTACTTTAAGGCCAAAGTATATAAAAGTTGGGCACATGGACCCTTAGGGGCTTGCAACAGCAGCAGCTGCAGCAGCAGCAACAGCAACAGCAGTTGCAGTGGCAGGCTGTGTTGCTGGAACTTTGTGTTCCAGCGAGAGCTACTAGTGAATCAGTTCTACATCGTGGTGGAGGCAAGTTGCGCACACTTGCAATGAATCCTGTGGTCGGATTAGTGTTCTAACACGGTGGATTTTGCCAGGTGCCGATTTGGCACGAAACCCTGAAAGCGCTTAGCCCTACACCTGCAGCGACCCTGAGATTTTGTTTTAAAGTGTCTTTGAATTTCAACGCATGTCTTTGACTTTCAACGCTTTATAAACACATGGTTTATACTACTTCCGTTGGCTTCGGGCCCGGGCCATTAAGCGGATCCCTAGCCTCCACCCGTCCACACCTCCACCGCTCCACCCTCCACCCCTCCATCTCACGCCTCGCTCGCCATATTCCTCCACCACCCCACCCCCCCCTTCACCTTCCCCTCCACCCCTCCTCCACCCTCATCACCCCTCCAACCCCGGGCTGCCAATTAGATATAATGTGATATAGGGTGCGTAACGCAATCCCAAAGCTAAGCCTTAATCCCAAACCCTAAACCTTAACCCCTAAACCCTACAATAGTCTCTAGACCTGCATCACGGAACCTTTTGTCTGAAACCCTAAGCCCCAAGCCCAAACCTTAAACCTCAATCGAGCTGCTTGGAATTTGGTGGCGTCGCTGGTAAACAATGATTTCGACCAACGACACCAACAACATACATTTTTTGTCTGCGGGAATCTTGGATTTCGTTACAAATCTAAAAAGACTGACTCCTTCATATAAGTATATACTATACCCCCAAACCCAATTCTGACTGTTAAGCCTCTGCTACATTAGTAGCCAGGTCTATGTACATTTGACGAGATTGTTTGTATAGTTCTTGGTAACAAGCATATTCAAAGCACTGATAGTAAGAATCATGGTAACAATACCAATAATAGCAATGATAAGAATAGTAGAAACCTTGGTAAGAATATGAAAAGCCAACAGTATGAAACACTGATGGGAACAATGTTTACATATTACTAGTAATAGCAACTTAGTTGTTACTAACATACAAGTTTTAGTAACAGTCATCATCACCATGGTCACCATCATCATGATCATCGGCGTCAAAAACGACAAGCGAGGTGCGGGTGATGCTGACGCAGCTCCTGCAGCAGCTAAAGGTCTTGCAAGGCCTCGGCTGCACACACACGGCACCTTGCCTGAAAAAGGGCTAAAAGGGTTTAGGGTTCAGGCTAGGCCCAACAGCTCCAATAGCGGCCGACAGCTTTGGGTGAGGGCTTCGGGTTTAGGGTCCAGGGGTACAGGTCCTGTCGTATGATGTCGGACACAACCCCAGTAAGCCCTAACCTCTCAACACCAAACGGTCTTTTCTTCTTGGCAAGACCGTGCTTTTCAAAACAGATTTCAACATCCGACTTTCCCCGGCAGGTTGAGGTCATCGACCTTACCCCCTGCCCGTCAGCCGTATACATCAAATGCTAAACCTAAGCCGTAAAACCTCAGCCAAAAAACAATTGAACGATTGAAGAACCCCTTGGAAAGAGATTTAGAACCTTGTTTGGATCCCAAAGGACATCAAGCACAAGAACTGCTGTTTGGCTTCCACGGAGCACTACATGGCAAGCCTGCCAGGTGGACGCTTGGTGTTGGTGCTTAGAGTTTTAGGGTTTGGTTGTGCCATACAGATGTTATGGTGTTCTCGGCTTTTGCAGGATTCTTTTGGGTTTGGCATGTTGTTTGCAGCCGTGTCGTTCCTTGGGGTTTTCCACGTTCTCCATCAGAGTGTCCTGACCACAAAAATCGTTAACCACCCCCCCGCAAAATGACAATATACAGTGGAGGTAGCATAAGGGGCGGTATAGGATGGTATAAGGGCTAATACTAGATAGTTTAACCCCCCCAAAACCTACCCGTTAATGGGTGTACATATTTATATACTTACACATTCATATATCTATATATATATATATATATGTAGAACACATGAAAAATCCAAAAGGTAGATGTCTTCGAACCCCAGGAAGGGTTCTACTAGAACCCTACCTATAGTTTAGCGTACCTACTTCTCTTTATATCGGATCCTAACCATAAAACTAGGTGCCTCAAGACAGGGGAAAGGTATGAGGTAACGGCCACCCCCTCAAACATAAGCCCTTTCAGGGTTCCTTCGCGTTGGGGTCCTTGGTCCCTTGGTTCAGACAGAACTCAAGGAGTAGTAGAATCCTCATCGAACTAGTTTCGATCCCTTAATTCTTGAGTCGTTTCGGCCAAACCTTTAAGTGTACATTCAGAGTGTGTCCCGGCAGGTTTAAGGGCACAAAGCCCTCAAACTTTTTAACTCCTGGAACCTTAAATCCCTGAACAGTTAGGCCCCAAGCCCCCTAGCCCCTAAATCACCAAACACCAAGGACCCGAAGCGCTTGAAGGGTACCGGAAGGGCGGGCCCTAGCAGATCCTAGCAGGTGGTGGATCGACCATGATCCTGACCGATCCCGTGGTGAAGTTCATCGACTACGGCAACGCCGTCTTCGAGGGGCAAAAGAAGTCGGTAACCAAGTTTCACCAGAAGGGTTTAGGGTTTAGGGCTTGCAGTTCAAGGAGGGGTCCAAAGACTCCATACTTTGGGTTTCCAGATGGAGTTTGTTAGGGCTTTATGGGTTTTTTCTGGGTATGTTGAGGGTTTAGGAGGCGAGTTCGGTTCCGGGATGTAGATGATTAGATTGTGCTCTAACCGCAAGGGTTTTCAAGGAAGAGGGCCTCCTGCTCACCTTTTGAGTCCAAGTAGTACTGGTTTCACGGTGGATCCCAAATCCGCGAAAACAAGGACTCCATAGACCCTTAGGGCTAGGGCTATATCCAGGATAAAACTCCGAACTCTCACCCCAACCCGGGCACTCTGTGAGTTCGGGTCATCAGCAGCGAGTTGCAGAGGTAACCCAGCATGTAGATGACCCCCACGCGGCTTATTTTGTTGGGTCCTGTCAAGAGCCCTCAGAAACCTACAAAACCCTGTACATGATCAACATCGTCATAACAGGACCCCAGACAAACATGAAAGCTGACCTGAGCCCGCTTAAACTTATACCTTGAACCATAAACCTATTAGGTTTGGGCTAAACCCTCAAACCTATAAACCTAAAGCCATGATGGACCACCATTCTTCCGAATCGAGGCGGCACCAGGTTCCATGTTAGATTAAGGATGGCTGAACTGTTGCCGCAACTCCCTTTCGGGGTATATCAAGGCACTGTGATGGTGTTTCCCATACATATCATAGTCCAGAAGCATAGCTTCGAGATATATTGTCATGGTATATGCATAGGGGTACCAGAAGGGGTTTCGGGATATTTAATGTAAAGGTACAAGTACAAAGGCATCACTGTCGCCTACTTGTTTAGAAGCCTAAACCTACTGCTGGTGTAAACTCCACAAACCCCCCCAAGTCTCAAGACCAATGTCTACCACCTCCGAGCCCTGAATTCCTTATAGAACGTCCAAAAGCCCACCTGGTCTAGCAGCCTGATCAAGAAACCCTTTGGTGTTATAGGGCCGGGGTTTCTTAACCACCTTCCTACATTATAGACAACGACACTTACTGTTTTGGTTGACAAACCTAAACCTCAACCTCATACCGACAGATACCCCCGCTGTACTGCAGTTGGAAAAGATCCCATAAACCAAATAAGCAAACGATCGATATATATATATATATATGTACATATATATATATATATGTATGTCGACATATGTATATATACATATATATATATATACACATGTAGACGAGTGAGGCCGCACCCCATCCACACGAAGCAGCCGCCCGCCCAGAGGGTCGGCTCAACGTTGATGCAAAAGGGTTTAGCGCCGGTGGGGTGGGGGTTTAGGATCAAGGGTTGAGAGTTTAGGGATGTTTAGGGTTCAGGGTTTAGGATTAAGGGTTTGGACCTTAGGTTTAGTGGCTGGCGTTTAGGCTTCAGGCTCCATGGTTGGGCAAAAAATTCCAGGTGTCCTTTCCTAGCGCCCTTGTGTCGTGAATAGCGAGTATTACGGCCATAATTGAGCACAGCTAGGGCTTGGAACACTACCAAACTCTAAAGCCGAAGGCTTAAGACAGTAAGCAGCCCTTGAAGAACACTAAACCCTAAACCCCAAACCCTCGATGGGAGGCTCAAGTTTAACATGTGTTAGAAGACCTGAACCCGAAAGCCTTTCAGCAGCTTTTGAATAGGAGTTGAAAGGGACCTGAGGCGTTTCTCAGAGCTCTGGGACCTAAACCTGAGAGCCCTCTAGCTTACACCCTCAACCCCAAACCCTAAACATGAGTAGTTCTCTAAATTAGGGTCCCTCTTTGGGTGCTTATGATAATACGGCACCTATTATTTAGAGCAACCAATAAGGGACCTTAAGTTTGACAACTACCCATATATAGTATATACACTAAACAGGCCCAAGTTACACGCTGTATGATTACATGGACCCTTGTATCCTAAAGCCTTATAGAACCCTAAAAGGGAGCCCTTAGAGGAGCCCTTAAAGGAACCCTACTTAAACCCTAAACCAGAAACTCTAAACCCTTCAAGGACCCTTTTTTAGGGGATACTAGGAGCTGAGGTTTCGCGCGCCCGAGGTCCTCCTCAACATCCGGGGAGGTCGGCGCCGACTTCGGGGCTTTCACTTAGGGGTACTTAGAATTAGTTATTATTTTTGGTTATTATGATCCCTAAGAGACAGCTAAAATGATATTTTTTTGCTAGGGATCTAAGTTCAGTATAGTTTAAGCTTTGGCGTGCCTTCTGGGGTTGCACTCAAGGATTCTGCAGGGGTTCAAGGGTTCGTCTCCATTCCCTGAGCATTGAACCCCAGATCTCGAAACACCTTGCACCTGTTGACGCGATTGAAGCCGGCAAGCTGTCTTGCAACTCCTGAACGAAGAGCCCATGATTGAAGGCTTTGGAACCCAAAGACCAAGGTCGCGGCGCTAGTTCGGGGCCAAATAGTTTTGTAGAGCTGGGAAAGCCCTATGAGCCCGGTATAATACCTGCGCAAGACAGGATGGGGTCCCGCTAGCGACACCTGGACGCTGGGAGTGACGGGGGCCTTCCTCGTTGCACGGCTTGATGGTTAGGGTTCAGGGTTTAGGGTTTCGTTTTATTTTCGGATTTAGAGTTTAGGGTTGAGGTTTCAGGTTTAGGGTTTAGCATGTCGGGTTTCAGACATGAAGGATCCTACTACACTCGGTCTGCAGCAGGATCTCGCTTGCAGGTGATTTGGTTTTGAGTTTCGGGTTTGGGCTTGGAGGTTCAGACGTTTTAGTGTTGCTTAGGGTGAGAGTTTTGGGCTTGAGTGTTCAGAATCTGTGGTATCTTGCTCAAGCACCCGTGTAATATCGGGGCCTAAATTAAGACCAACTCTGTTTTGGGTGCTTATCATAAGGTTTGTGTAAAGGGGCCCAAAACCCGATTCCAAGCATTGGGGCCCCCTATGGTATCGTATATTGCTTTCGGACCGGCGTGGTGGTACTTTCTGCATGTGGGAAGAAGTGGAATGAACAAGGCACAGGGCGGCCGGCAAGCGCGCTGCAATGTGCTGAGCCGGCAACCCTGCACTCCACCCGCGGTTTCGATGTCACGTTTATGAGGCCCAAACCGAAGACTCCTAAAGCCTGAACCCTAAATTCCACGGTTTAGGGGCCTTGGCTCAGATCTCTAATGTTCCTCGTTAGCATGTACTCCATGAAGGCAATGTCGCAGCGTCTATTAGGCTGCACATTGCCTAAGTCCTGGGACCAAAAGAAGATGTTGCCAAAGACACCATAGACAGACGGGGTTTCCATCACAACTTATTCCCTGCTTACTCGGACGTTGCTCTAAAACTACTCCCCGGCCCAGATCTAAACACACAACCCACTCCCAAACCCTGCACCTCGACCCTAAACCCTAAACCCTAAACCGTCCCAAAATGGCCGGACCACCAACCCAGACATTTTGGGACCCCCCCGGGTCCCGGGGGTTAGTACTGTAGCAAAAGGCCCGCCTGGGGGTTCGGGGTTTAGGGTTTAGGGGTTTAGGGCTTACTTGGAGGTCCACAGGTAGCAAAAAGCGCGGTTATAAGTCCCCGAATATGGGTTATAACTATAGTTACCTGACTTATCACCCCACTTATACCTACCCATGAAGACGAACCTCACACCCTGAACCCTAAACTCCGAACCTCACACCCTAAACCCCGAACCCAGACCCTAAACCCTAAACCCCGAACCCTGAACCCTAAACCCTAAACCCCGAACCCACCAGGTCTCCGGGCAGCTGATTTTCAACTCTCACGACCCTCAGGACGAATCTGGGTAGGGTTTCTGTACCCAGATCCCCAAAGGTAGGTAGAATAATAGCCCAAAGCCCATAAAACGCTTCCTACACCATATCCTGGGCTTTGGGGTACCATACGTTAATTCCTACTTTTTCTTTAAAGGAACCATTATGAAATAGGTGTCTAAACTTTTTTCTCCTGGTTACTTAACAGCCCAGTTTCGATACTCTAAATCCCACACCGTACGGTTGATGATCTACATCCTGCATCACCCATAGTAAGGAATATACCATGATTCTCATAGTTTAGGGTCCTTAAGGTAATGCAGGATTTATACCATCAACAGTATCAAATTCTTCGGGCTTGGGTTGCTTTTGAAGCTTCCTTTGAAACGGTGCCGTGAAAGTTCCCCCATGGGTTCAGGGTCTTTATCGGGGAGTTTCCAAGATTAGGGGTACCTCATTTGGGGGTTCTTATAATATGGGTCCTACTATTCAGGGCACTATAATAGGGTCCCTTATTTTCGGAATCTCGGAAACTCCCAAACCCTGAACCCTAAACCCTTTATAGAACCCTTTCGATCCTTTAGAGGAGCCCGTATGGCACCCTAAAGAAGCCTAAGGATCCCCTGTTTTCGGAAACTCCCATAGCAGTTTGTGGGTTCGGCTTGGGGTGCTATTGGTGCGGCAAGGACTCGCATTGTTGACTCTGAGGCCGTCAGATGCTTTTGGAGCCCATGTGTCTTTTAATCTTTGTTTTTTTAGGGGGTGTGTGGGTTGAGGCTGGAGTTTAGGGTTCGGTGCTTGCGCTTTGGGGCTTTTGCCGCTTTGGGATTGGCTGCAAGGCTAGATATGAGCAAGGTTCTGGGTTGCGAGCCCTAAACGCTCAACCCAAGCCTAAACCCGCAAAAGCCGAACCCCAAACCCAAGCCTAGACCCTTAAAGCCGAACCCCAACCTCGAATTTGCAGCCCCGACCGTAGCGCGATATGGCTCCCGGGCGAAAAGCACGACGGCACGCCGGTTTTTCGAAAATGAATGCCCTCTTAAAGGTTCCCTCAACTGGTCCTTTAAGGGTTCTTTTCAGTGTTCCTTTAGGGGTTCCTGTAAGGGTTCTTTCAGGGTTCCTTTGGGGGTTCCTGCAAGGGCTCATTCAAGGGTTCCTTTGCGGGTTGCCTTAAGAGTTCTTCTTTAGGTTGGGCTTCAGGGACCGAGTAGGTCACCTTTGACCTTGTGGGGGTTCTATAGCGTTTAGGGCTTTAAAGGTTTAGAGTTTAGGGAGTTTAGGGTTTAAGGTATACAGGGTTTGGGGTTTAGTTGCTTTAGTTTGCATGGGTTTCGGGTTTAGGGTCTTGGTTCGACGGTATAAACTTAAGGTTTCAAACGTGGTGTTGAAGACTTTCCTTCTGAAGCCCTAGCGATTAAACTTCAAAGCGCTGAACCTTTGAATCCTAAACCCCAGATTCTTTGAAGCCAAAATTCTGGTCGCAACCTCAAACCCTCAACCCTCAAAGCTGCCTGGAATCATCCTGCCGAACTCCAGCAACTCTCATGCCCTATAGCCTGACCTCCTGGCACAGGCCTCGTCCCCAAATATGCATGTGTATCTCGCTTTTGGGGCGTGGTGGTCCGATGATGCATGTGTGTATATATATATATATATAGAGAGAGAGAGAGAGAGAGAGAGAGCGCAGAGAGAGAGAGAGAGAGAGAATGTGTGTGTGTGTGTGTGTGTAGTGTAAACAAACAGACCCTGATGCAGCTTTCATCCAGGAGCTGATCCGCCTCATGGTCCAAGCGCTGGGCCCGTTTCCAGATCGCCTGCTGGGAGACGCTCAAGACGCCCGCCTTGAAGGGCTCCTTTAAGGGCTCCTTTTAGGGCTCCTTGAAGGGCTCCTTTAAGGGTTCCTTTAAGGGCTCCTTTAAGGCCGCTGTTACGCTTCGCAAGAAGTGAAACAAGGCCTTGCCTAGACCCCCCAAACCAGGTAACACAAAGGCCCAAAACCTATAAAAGGCCATTATTCTACATACTTTTGGGGTCCATAAGGGGGTCCAGGTAACCTCCGTTTGCCCCTGCAAGGATGCACGTCTGCGACGGCTAGCAGAGTCGGCTATGCAGGAGAGCTCTGCTATTTTGGGGGTTCCTTTAACGGGACCCTTTAAAGGGGTTTACGATGGGGAATTTATGGCAGGGTTCTATGATATAGGAGCCTTTATAATTGCCTATACTATTTTGGAGGTTCCTTCTCATGCTTATAATATGATGGGCCCCAAAACCATGCTCTAATTATTATGGCCCAACAGTACCTCGCGGCTCACACAGCCCCAGATTTCTGAAGTTGTGCGTCCTTCGAAATTTGGAGAGTTTTTTGGGGCTCTGCACCAGCCCAAAACTCTGAACCCAAACCCGCTTCGGGTCATTCTCATCCGCTGCGGGTCCAGGTCCGCGAAATGACCCGGTTCTGAGAACTAAAGGGTCAACGGTTTAGGGTCTACCCTAAGGCTCCTGGACCCTCGTACTGAGATCAAACTCGCAACAACACGTAGCAAACTCAACACTCAGAAGGTCGAGTAAATGAGCCAAATTCCCGCAGGAGCCCTAGCAGATGCAACATGAGGGAAGCAACGAACTCTCCTCATCTTGCATGGTCTGGTCCCACGAGACGGTAATCCTGGGCCCCTAGCCCACACGCACCAAGCCCTTGGGGCATTTCTCTGTGCGAGGAGGGCAAGGACCCACAGCTGGCGCAGTGGCTGGGTCTGGCTTGGGCCGCAGCAAAGCATTTGGGCCATGCAGGGTTTGGGTTGGGATTGCACCTGCTGACCCTAAACCCGAAACCCACCCCCCTAAACCCTAAACCTGACAGCCCCTGCTTTGCCTAAGAGGCCGGCCAAGGCCCGGCAGCAGCCGCTTGCGCCGACCTCCTTCGGCGAATGTTAGCGCCCGGGGACCCTGGTGTCTTGTAGCTCTGTGTTCTCGAATGCTTTAGGGTTGTACAAGGCCTCCCATAAGGGTTCCATAAGAGTTCCAGAAGGGTTTTACAAGGGTTCCGTAGAGGTATATAAGGGCTCCCGAAGGGAGCGCCGGGAGCCCTGGTAACTCGTGTCTTGTGCTTCCCACAGGGTCCTAAGTCCCTACTTTCCGTAGTACCTACGCAGTAGAAAGTGGGCATTTGTCTAATAGGAATTACTATTATGGTTTAGGTACGAATTCCACATAGAAGCACCGAGGGTTCGTTGGATTCATGGGCTCTTTATGAGAATGGCGCTGGCAACGGAAGTCGTCGACACAGCTAGCGATATGGAGAGAACTTCGGGGACCTAGTAAGTGGGTAGTAAGTAGACAGTCATAAGTCTGACTTATGAGTACCCTAAAGGGGATCCTAATTCGGGTTATGGTACTCAGAAGTCTAAAACAACTACTTGCTAAAGCTCCCGACCCTCGTTGGGTTTTTTCTTGTAACTAAACGCCTTGGAATAAGGAGTACCTTGAGCTGTGCACGATACATATACATTCTATGTTAAGGTTCATAGTAGGAACCTGCATACCTGTATAAACCCTAACGTCCTAAACTTAATGCCTTCAACATTATAAACCGTTTTATAAGCCCTAAACCCTAAACAAGGTTGGGCGATGATAGTTCAAGGGACTTAGTAAGTAAGGCTATAAGTACCTTAATCGGGGTCATGAGTATAGTAACCCTAGTTATAACCCAAGTTACTCAGTCCCATGATCCTTTAAGTAACCCTAAATGCCCTCTTATAGAATCCACGTAGCTCCCCATTAAGGAGCCCTTTAAGGAACCCTAGTTACTAAGTCCCATGATCCTTTAAGGTAGGGCACTTCGCTCTCCTGAGAGGCTCGATCCGAAAGAGCGCATCACTGCAGAGGATGCGCTGCCAGGGCCTTGGTTAAGGACAAATACCTCGCATGGGTTCAGGGTTTGGGGGTGTAGGGTGTACTTGGAGGATCATGGGACTTAGTAAATAAGGTTATAAGTGCCTTATTCAGGGTTATAAGTATGGTTACCCTACTTATAACCCTATTTACTAGGTCCCATGATCCTTCAAGTAGGGTTCAGGGTTTGCTTACCTTTGGTTAGTAGTGAATGGAGGAGTGGGGTACACTTATAACTACTATGACTACCATTCTTTCATTCCCTACTAACCAATTTGGGGGTGTAGGGTTTAGGGTTCAGGGTTTAGGGTCTGGGGTTTAGGGGCTCGGGCTTAGGACAGTCAGACTCTGTAGGACTGTAGGAACGACTACACCTTACATGACGAGAGTCTCTACTTAAAGGTTCATGGGACTTAGTAACTAGGGTTATAATCAGGGTAACTATACTTACTTATAACCCCCAATTAAGGTACTTGTAACCTTACTTACTAAGTCCCATGATCCTCCAAGCAGGCGGCTTTCGATCAAGGGCAGGGCACTCCTTTGTGCAGGTCACACAAGCGAAGCAAGAAGGATTTTCAAAACCAAGCGGGAGACTTCCCTCCAGACTATGAGAGTTGTGTGTATAGACGTTTATTGTTAGTATTGCTATTGTTAGTAATACTACTGTTATTTTTGGCGTTATTGGTATTATGATTATCAGTAGTATTGGCATGATGATGATGATTGTCATTACTATTAAGTAGAATTATCATTCGTGTCATTGTGGCTATCCTTATTACCATTCATATTCTTGTTCTTCTTATGCAACTTATACATAATCATATACGTAGATAAACATAGACATACATACGAATATACATGTGTATATATATATATATATATAGTCTATAGAGTTTAGATTATGAGGGTTATATTGTGGTTATCCTCCCAGAGCACGAAGACTCAGCAAAAGCTACAGGACATGACACTGCGTCGTGCATTGATCGTTCGGGGGATTAGAGCTTCAGTGTTTTGGGTTTCGAGGATGGTTTTACGGATTTCCGGTCGTAGGTCGGGGAAGACAGCTTGGTCATGGTGCCTGCTTTAAGGGATTCCTCTAGAACCTTTTCGGTGTTTAAGGGTTACCATGTTGAAGGTGGTGGTGGTAGTAGTAGCAGTAGCAGGTAGTAGTAGCTAGGTAACCTTTGCATCTTGGCGCAAGATGAGGGAGATTGCCAAAGTGCTACAGCCACATGTATCTCTTAGGAGGGGCCCCCACCCTGTAATAGTGGTATAATAGGAACATAATAGGAATATAATAGGGCCCTAATATAATCCTTATGGTCACTATTACAGGGTGGGGGCAGCTTCTAATGTAGATCACAAAACTCAAAGCCAACCTGTGCTTTTCGAGGCGGCACCCCTTCATCGTGGAGGGTGGCGCAGGGGAGACGGTCAGCCCTGCGTGTTGACGTAGTTCTAACGTCAGGGTGCCGTTTCCTGACTTTCGTCGATATAGAAGCCTGCAGAATTACCAATATTTTTTGTTATATTTAACTATACTAACCCTAAAACCGCGGGCTAACTATCAAGACCCCCATGGTTTAGATTGAGCTTCTGTATCCGCCGAACCTTCATAGATTTCGTTAAGCTTGGTCACATAAGTCGAACAATTATGAACAGTGTCCCCATTATGGTCAGTAAGGCCCCCCTTAAACACCTAAAGCTTGAACCCTAAACCCTTAACACCCAGCCATTTTACGGCGACCTGCGAGAATTTTCTTTGAGGGTTCTGTAAAGGGTTTTCAAAGAGATGGTCCAGGTTATGTTGAGTGCTGCTTTAAAGGTTCTACAGAGGGTTTTCAAGGGTTTGCTAAAGGTTGCTTTCAGGGACCATGTATCTACATGGTACAGACTTAGGCCTTAAAGGGGTTCCTATATAGGTTCTTGAACGCCTCCTTACGTGCTATGTAGGTACATGGAGCCTAACAGTTCACACGAATATGAACGAGAGAAGGCAGGATACATGCAGCGCCACTGAGGGGGGAACCTTCAGACAAGATACACCCTCGGATTAGGCATTTTCATCCTAAGAGCGTAAACCCAAAAGGGTCCAAGTATCATTCTGCTATATACTTCTAGGGCATTTGGGAGGTCTAAGTCTATACCTAAACCCTACCCTCGCGAGGGTTTAAGTAAATTGAAGGGTTTGAGGGTTTAGGGTTTAGTAGGGTTTAGGGGTTCAGGGTTTAGGGTTTAGGGTAATGATGATACTTGGACCCTTTGGGAAGCCCCAACAGGTCCTCAACCCGAATCAGGCCACCGTGCCGCCGAGAAGTCCGAGGACGTCTCTTTCTCGCCCATCCCCGGGTGGTAAAGGCAGACATACCCTAAGCCGGAATAACCTACCTTTTTAGGGTTCCTTACCATGATTTCTTCATATAAGTTCTTAAAAAGGTAGGTTATTCCGGCTTAAGGTGGGGTTGAGAGTTTGGGGGGCTGTTTGGTTTAGGGTTTAAAGGGCTCCTTTAAGGCCTTGAAAATAGAAACTTCCACTCCCTGCAGCACAAAGGACCCTAAAGCCATCCACAGCCCTAACCCCTTCGGGGAGACCCGAGGGTTCTATCCAGCTGCTGTAGGGGGTTTCACAGGGGTTGTAGGGCTTCGGAGGGCTCGGGTGTCGGGTACAGCTTCCACAGGATTCGGCCTTTTCTTTGCGTTGTTTAGTCTGATTGTGTTCAAGGTGTTACGGCTGTAAGGTTCGAGGTCTTGTGGGTTGTATGGCTTAACTTGTCGCAGGTGGAGGAGGTTTCACCGCTGGAGGTGAGGATCTGAATATCGCAGCTTTCGGGCCAAGGGTCGCGACGGAATTCAGGGCTTCGGTGGCAGGAAGCCCCAATGGGACACCGAAGGCATGTCGCCACGGTTTAGGGTTTAAGTCGGTTTGGGGCTTTAGGGTGCAGGGTAGATGTTCGTAGGAAGGGCCCGGGCAGGTTGCTCGGGGCCGCAGATTTTCAGCGTCGGCGGTGTACAGGAACATTCTGCCGGGCTTCACCTGTTTTGATTCTTTCTTATGGGACAGGGTTTTGGTAGTTGGGGGTTCATCCATAGAGCGCTGAGGGCTTGGGGCTGAAAGCCTGCACAAGAATCGTGTCCCTTAGCAAGTAAGTGGAGGATCATGGGACTTAGTAAGTAAGGTTGTAAGTACCTTAATTGGGGTTATAAGCAGTAATAAGTATAGTTACTCTAATTATAACCGCAGTTACTAAGCCCCTTGATCCTTTAAGTAGTCGTCTAGGGATCCGATTATGGGGACATTAAGCGAATGGAGTTTACCGATCTGGGAGTTTCCGACATAGGGGTACCGTATTTTGGGGTCGGTGTCTTTGTTATGCAGTATGGTACGCCCTGGCGGCGTGCACTTTCGTACAAGCATTGTTATAAGGATCCTACTGTTTAGGGTGCTATATAAGGGTCCCCTATTTTCGGAAACTCTCATCTGGGCTGCGCATTATAGTTCCTGGGGGAGTCTCAGTGCAGGTGGGCGATGACTTAATGCAGCCGTGGCCGCCTGGGCACTGAGAGCTGGAGCATTTACCTTAAGAGGTCCGGTAGCTAGTCAGCCAAACGACACGTGGGAAGTTTCACACTAACAGTACTAGCTAATGGCATGTAATTCTTCGGAATTAAGCGCATCCTGGACCCAAGTCCCCGTCACGTATCCAGCTACATTGGGTCCGTTGGTGTTGCAGCTGCAACTCTAAAACCCTACAGCCCCAAACCCTAAGACAAGCCTGAAGCCCTGAACCTTGCAAGCCCTAAAGCCCTAAACCGCTCCGACTTCTTGGGTCCTTTGGGCTTACCCCCACTCCCACCCAACTACCTTCTAATAAAGACCAAATACCGGCTATTCAGGACCATAAGGGCTCCATTACTGGGCCATTGGGAGGTCCTGGCCCTTGGGTACTTCGGCCTTTCTGTTTTACGAACTTAAGTTTAGGATGCAGGAGGCATGCATTACTTCGAGCCTGGACTTGGTCTTCTGTAGGACCGTCTCAGGTCATTGTTCAAGGTTTCGGTTCCAGAATACTATGTATGTTATGCTTGGCTTGGATCATGGGACTTAGTAAGTAAGGTTATAAGTACCTCAATTGGGGTTATAAGTAGTTCTAAGTATAGATACCTTGATCATAACCCTAGTTACCAAGTCTGCCACCCTAAACCCTAAACCCTAAACCCTACCCTCAGTCGTTCCCAAGAGCTGACGACGAGACATCTGCTGCCCACGGAAGCTGACAAAAGACTGCCGGAAGTGCTGCAGAAAGGGTTGAAGTGTAGTCTTTCGGATCTTGCACTTTACAGGGAACTCCAGAAAGTTGGAATATGGTTTCAGGGTAGGATACCTTATAACTTACCATAAAGGGTTTAGGATAATCATATTCCAACTTTCTGGCTTTTACTTTAAACTCTTATAATATGTTAGTGTCAGGCTTTGGAGATTGAATAAACCTCATGTCATAATAAGAATCCCTTCATGATTCAAGCTATATTCCTTTCGTGTAGACGGGCTTTGGAGTCTCTGGGTAGTGATGAGACATCCTGGAGTGGTCGGGTCGACCCCTCTCAAAAAGGCTTACTTTGTTTATAGGGTTCCTGAGTACGAAAAGCCTCGAGGCCTTTCAGCCTGAGGCCCAAAGCCCTCATCCCTATTTCCTAATGAGATGCCCAGTCTGGGCTGAGCCGGCCAGACTACTGGTGCAGACTCAAAAAGCCCTTCAGAAAAAGAAAACACCTAGTTCCTACAGCCCGATGCCTGAAGACTCTGATTGAGTCCCCAGAGCCTTGGAGTTCATGGCAGACACCCCCCAAAAGGAACCCCAAGCCCTCAACCCTGCCCTAGGCCCTAATCCCTAGGCTTTGAATCCGAAACCCCAGAACCGAGACTCTAACTCTAAATCCTAAGCACCAAGACCAAGATCGTGTTTGTAAATCCTAGACCCAATGCTGACTCTAAATCCTAAGCACGAAGACCAAGATCGTAATTCTAAGTCCTAAACCCAATGCCAAGACCCTAAACCCGAGCAAACTCCGAGCCTCAAGCAGGCAAAAGAAGATTTCGCCGGACGTGGCCACGGGCGCCATGGAAAAGTACGGGCTGAAGATCGCCCGGCGCCCAATCGCTGAGGGTTTTTCCTTGGAGGCGGTTGGTACCCAGACCTTCCAGAATCCCTCAGACTCATTTAAGGAATATACCTTCAACACCTTCAACCGTATCAGAGGTCCTACTACTTTGGGAGGTTTATTCCTTAAATAGAGGGTTTTGCCTGGACTTTAGCAGTCGAGTTTTTTTTAGTTGAGGGGGGGGGGGTGGAGGGATTAGGGTTCTGGGTTCAGGGTTTAGAAGTTTAGGGCTCAGGGTTTAGGTCTTCAGGGGTTGAGAAGCCCTGAGGGTGCAAGGACCCAGTAATTAGGTACTCGGTTTCAGGATAGTCTAGGATGCCCAGTAGTACCCTTATTCCCTTTTGTAGTCCTAGGTTCCTTATAAAGTTACCCAATAGCAAAAAGAGAGGCCTTTTTATTCTTAGGTTACTGGGTATCCTAGTAGTAGTTATGTTAGGATTTTGGAGAGTATATGATTATTAGGTACTTGGACCCTTGGGGATGGTTTAGAGTCTGGGCAATAGGAGGTTCATGGGACTTAGTAAGTAAGGTTGTAAGTACCTTACTTGGGGTTATAAGTATAGTTACCTTAATCATAACCCTAGTTACTAAGTCCCATGATCCTTTAATAACCCTAAACTAAATTCCCTCTTATAGAATCCACGTAGATCCCCTTTTTAGGAGCCCTTTAAGGAGCCCTAGTTACTAAGTCCCATGATCCTTGAGTAGGAGGTTCAGGGTTCAGGGGTCATGGAGCTTTGGGCTTTGGGATCTAGGGTCCCGGGATCGAGGGTTCAGGTTTTTACGGTTTTTGCTAGTGGGTTTATGGGCCTTTGGGTTCGGTGTTTAGGATATCGGGATTTTGGGTGTTGAGTTTTTAGGATAAGGGGTTTGGAGTTCAGCGTTTTGGTTTGTAGGTTTTCGGAGTTTAGGGTTTCGACTTGCTCTTCATTTTTTTAGATATCTTCATTACCTGGAGGATCCAAGTGCTCATACTCTGACTCGATTTGGGGCACCTGAACCTCATAAGCCCCAAGCCCCAAACCCAAAGATGCTGATATCCTAATGGTTCGCGTAGGCCTTACAGGGTTCCAGATACAAGCATTTCAGGGAATACATACGTGCTATATAGGTACATGGAGCCTTAGGGTAGGTTACCCTTATTTTTCTTGAGCGCATTAGAAGCTACCATAGTTTAGAGGACAACTGTGTTTGGGTGAGATACTCGGGCACGAGGAACATGTGAATGGTGGCGTGGGCAATTGTCGAGGAATCTTACAAACGAACCGTAGACCTTAAGCTGCAAATCTATATTAACCTACCTCAACATCTGCAACTCTGATCCGTTGAATGTTGGAAGTTCCTCCCAGCGAAAAGCACGCCTAGATATATAGCCCCCCCGCCCACCACCACAAAAAATGCAAATCAAAAAAAAAAAGGAGCGGCCTGACATTTGCATGGACCACGAGTTGACCGCGTGACACGCGTGCAGTGGTTCAAAGAGGCCCAGGCGAGAAGGGTTCAGCATCCAATCAAGTTCGAACCCTAAACCCTAAACCCTAAACCCTAAACCCTAAACCCTAAACCCTAAACCCAGGCGTCTCGGCTCAGGGGTTTATTCCGGATTGGATAGCCCCGGCCGCGTTGACCCCGTGCGGCTGATCCTTTGTGACGGCCCACCACTGCAGCCTGGAGTGACCCGTACGGGCTCCAGGCCTCGACTTCTCCATCTACTGCCTGGTTGGTTAATCGCTGCTGTTCAATCGGCCGATTTTTCCTACACTGGTTGTTTATGGTTGGTGGAGCTTTTCTGGTTGGATTGCTCTGCCTAGTCTCTGCGACCCGCGGCTACACTGGCCTTTTGAGCCACGAGGTTCCGTGTGGAGGAGACTGGGGCGCACCGCAGACAGCGGAGGCGCCGCACAAGGGCGCGCACCCGATTGCGCGCGGTGCTGAGTGGCTACCTTCCTTGGGATCGGAAGGCAGCGCAGGCACTCACGCTCTTGGACGGACACCATTCGCAATCGGAGTTGCCACAGGCCGTGAGGCGGCTTGTGAGTTTGAGGTTCACATACCGCAAAAAGAGCGCCATGGCTGCTTGGAAATGCAGCGTATGCAAACAGATGTGCCGTGCAAACGCCAACTACTGCCCGAGCTGTGGGGAGCACTGGCAGAAAGTGGCGGCAAGAGACACAATGGCTCCAAGACAGAGGCCGGCAGAAGCATGGGACCAAGGAGGCCAAGGCTACCAGCGTGGATGGAAGCAGCCACGCGAGCGCCGGCCATCTGCATCTCCTCGACGGCGTGGAGAAGGCAAAGGTGGCAAGCAGAAAGGCGCCAAAGGTGCCGATCCGCAGCCTGGGAAAGGCAAGCCTGGTGCCGCCGCCGCGGTGCCGGATGTGGGACAGTTGCCGGCCCCTCCGAAGACAGGGAAGCCGAACATGCCTTCTGCAGGAGACGGCCCATCTGGAGCCCCTGCTCCGTCCGAAGACAGGAAAATGTTGGAGCAGCTTATGGCTCAGTTGAGTATAACAGGAACGGAGCTTCCTGCCGGTGTTGCCTCCATGGTGACACAATTTCAAGCAGAGAATCATCGCTTGCACGGGCGACAATTACATCAATTGGTCGCCAGACAAACTGCAGCCCGCAAGGAGATCGCACGGCTCGAACAGGAGGCCAGCACTTTCGAGAAAGCCTGGACTACCTACATGGAGAAACTTTCCCAGTTGATCGAACAGCAGATGGAGGAAAGACAACAGCATGTTGCTGCCAGGGAGACCGCTCTCAGTGCCTGGCACGCGCAGCTGACCGAGGCGACCAACCAGCTGGCCGCCCAGGCAGGTGCCACCTCGACGGGCGAAGCGGACATGGACACAGCCGAGGACATGGTCAATCAGGCCATCGAGGACGAGGCGGAGCAGCGCCGAGCCAGGGAGCAGGCCAATCTTCGCTTCCAGTCTATGCTACAGATGTTACAGCAGCAGCCTGGCTTGGTCAAGGGACCAAGAGAAGGCTCTCGGACACCCAGGCGGCGCAAAGGCGAAGAGGCCGAAACAATCTCTTCACGCGAAGCCTCGCCTTCTGGACGGGATGGTACTACGAAGGTCGAGGCGATGGAAACTGGGGATGCCAAGGCATCTGGTGGCAAGGGGGCGCCTGTCACCAAAGTCCCTCAATAGGCTCCTGTTGCAGCTACACGAGTGCACAGGAGCCAAGCACGGTCGGAGTGGTGCCATGGAGCCACTCTGTGCACTCCGACCCTTCCTGTGTGAGCCCCTTTCTCGCACAGTTGATCGCGCTACAAGCAGAGTTCGATGTCGCAACTGACAGCACGTCCGGGGTGTTTCAATGCCTGGTGGACGATCGCATCGAGATTGCACTTGAACAGCCG